TAGACCAATGGAATAGAATTGAGAACCCAGAAATAGATCCATCGACCTATAGTCAGCTGATCTTTGACAAAGGCCCAAAATCCATTAAATGGGGGGCAGGTTATTAATTTTGCAACCCTCAACCTACTCCCCCCAACCACAAAAGATACATAGAAGGAAAAAAAAGATTAAAATGGGGAGAAAAAAACGGTAGCATAAATAAAGAGATATATTCTATAGCGATTATTCACACATAATCATCATTACCACTCTTACAAAATGTCCACAATATATTAAAAGCAAATTTTTATAGCAGCAGAGCACAGTAAAAAACATTTAGAAATGACATTGTTGTTGCATGCTGCTGAGCTGATTATAACTGATAGTGACCCTATATGACAGAGAACTTTAACACTGGGACTAGGATATGATGTACTGTGAGTGGGCAATATTTAGCATTAAACATAGTGAAAGCTTTTTGTTTCATACCTTTATTTGTGGCAGACCCATCTTTGATCTTTTGTTTCAGTGACTGCAGCACATCCTGCACTTGCTCAAATATAAAATCCACTTTTCCATCACCTTCCAGCTCCATCCAGAAAGTTTTTGCATCACCTAAAAAAAATAAATGAATAGCCCAAGTGTGTTAACAGAAATAGACTGTTAATTTCCCCAAGGTTCACGTTGCAGAAAATCAAGATCAAGCTGGGCGATCATTCTCCCTGGAGAAAAAGATTTTGGTCATGTTTCTCTGTAAAGAACTAAAAACAAAAAGTATAATCTAAATATTTTACTAATCTCTGCTATTTTTTTTAAATATATTGAAAACTTAAGTGACATTGTTTCTCGGGGATGCTTTCGTTTATGGTGGTAGTGGGGCATACATGCATTTTTAAAGTTTCAGTGGCATAATCTTCACTGAATATGAGAGTGGATGTTCAGAATGAAACATCCCAACAATGCCGGAAATAATTATAAATGTCTAACAAACCCAAAACCAAACTCACTGCCATTAAGTCGATTCTGACTCATAGAGACCCCCACTGGGTTTCCAAGGCTATAAATCTTTATGGAAGCAGAATGCCTCCTCTTTCTTCCACAGAGCAACTGATGGGTTTGAACCACCAATCTTCTGGTTATCAGCCAAATGCCTTAACCACTACACCACTGCAGTTCCTTAATGTCCAACAGTATTACTTTTTAAAAAGTAGTTTGTATCACAATAATTATACAGAGCAAAATAATGTTTAAAATTTTTATAGTTATAAAGACAAGGCAACATTTCAGATGCCCAGCAAGCTAACTAATACCTGAATCCAAATTTTCCTAGACAAATAATCCTTTTCAGCTGAAAACAGAAGTACAAAAAAGGTAATCAAACATAAATTGGCCAAAGTAATAAAAATACAGAAGATCTTAAGCATAAATTTATAAAATGCTAATATTAATATCTAAATTCACTGATATCAAAATAGGGCCTTAAGCCAAGGAAGGACATAATCAGAATTGCATACTAGAAAGGTCACTTGAGAAACTATTGGGAGGATTAATGGGGCAGAGAGCCAAGTTAGTTACAATACATTTTCCTTAGTAAAAATTAAACCCAGCACCTCTAACTTTGGCAATGGAGAGGGACTCTTCATAAAGAGTGAGACCATGAACTCAAGAGTCCTACCTCCTGATCAGTAAGTCATCTTACCCAAAGGGTAGCTTTGGCTAATTAGGGCTGCTGCCACCACAGTGGCCTCAGGAGAGAAGCTGTTCCCTTGTTAATAATCTGGCCCATGCATAGTCCACAAGCCCAAGCCTACTCTGATTTCCCATAGCACAGCTGAGGCAAGATTTCAACATTTGAAACAAATGTAGTACAAGAGGCAAAGGGATGAGAAACCAAGTATTGGTGTCTTAGCATGAATGAAGGCAGTGGTACCTACCTACCATAAAGTCACTGTATTCACCACCACCAACTTCATTTCCTTGAAGAACGAACAAAAGTGATTACCGAACTACTACAGCTATCTAAGAAAAAGCACTAGTGGGTTGTTTGAGTTGCAAGTTAAATGAGCTGTTTCTCTCTTTCCCTCCTTCCCTGGAAAACTATTTTATTTGAAAGAATCACTGACAAACTTTTTTCAGATTTGCGTGTCTGGCACACATATCCTCTAAAAGGAACAAAATGAGCCTACTTGAAAGACAAAACTGACAGTATTTGTTTCTAGATAAAATTTAAGCTTCCAAACGAAAATTAGAAATTTGGAAATCTTGAGTCTGCCATGTGAGTCTGACAGCTTTTCAGCAATTAAATACTTTTTTGATGAGATTGGTAGCACTCTAAAAAAAATATTTTTTATAGTATATGATGAAATATGTCAACATTTGACTTGCATAATTCCCTGAACATTTTCCAAGTGACCACTGCATGATGGTACAAAATTATAGATGGATAAAGGATCCATTCAACACGTAAAGCCAATGGATTTTAACGTAACAGAGGTCAAGAAGTTCACTGATAGGAGTTCAGATCCACACAGCAATTAACCTTTAAGAAATGACCACTGTTGAGTTTTTTGGAAAAGGTAATTATATTCTTTTCTTCCCCAATTTCTTGTATGAAGTTGTTGTATTTATGTATGTGTATCTGAGTGGTACAGAGTCCATGGGTGGTACAAGCAGATAATGCATTCAACTGCTACCGAATGGTTAGAAGATTTGAGTCTATCCACAGGCACCTCAGAAGAAAAGCCTGGCAATATACTTCCAAAAAAATCAACCATTGGAAACCCAGTGGAGCACAGTTCTACTTTGACACACACAGGATTGCCCTGAGTCAGAGGTGATGGTAACTTGTTTTTTCATACACACACACACACACACACTTAAACATATATATTTTCCCCACCAAACATGTCAAAACAGAGTAAATACAGAAGTAGATATGAGATGCTCTTGCTATTAACCCAAGTGTTAAAAGAGATTTGTAAAGGTGTAAAACAAAGTTATTCTAAATTTTTTTGTTGTAGAAGTATTTTCCACAAAATGTTACTTATGCTAACATGTAATGGGGTTATTATTTTTTTTTTTGGTTTTTTTTTAATTTTTTTATTAGGATTTGGGTGAAGATTTACAGAGTAAATTCACTTTTCATACAGCAGTTCACATATAGTTTGTCTCATGTCATTGACCAAAATTTACAATGCAGCAGCTCCCCTCCCACTTCCTCCGCATAGTTACCTCCTCCCAGTGTCCATCCCTTCATACTCTTCGAGAGGCCCATTGTCTGCCAACCCTGTATATGATCTTGGATACACTCTCCACTTAGACATACATAATTGTTTAGCTTGTTCACCCATCTATCCGTCCCTATACCCATGTTTGCTTTCATTAACAACTCAGTATTGTATTTACAAAGGGGTTCATATTTGTTGTTTGTACTGCCCATGTAACTCTCTCTGTCTTTCTCATCCTCAATGCTGCCATATTGGTCACTCACATTTGGTACATTGCCCTTCTCTTCACCCAAATCAATATTTATCTCTATCTATCTAACAGCATTCCCTCCCCTTCCCTCCCACCCCTGGTAACCAACAAAGAAAATGTCCTCCAATATATAAACATTTCCTTAACTTTTACAATAACGGACTAATACAATATTTGTCCTTTTGTGATGGGGTTATTATTTTTTAAATGAATCAATAAACATTGCTGAAATTTTTCAGTTTTAATTTCTATTTAATACTAACAGCTATTACCCACATAGAGAGCTCTGGTGGCGCAGTGCCTAAGGCATTTAACTGCTAACCAAAAGTTGGCAGTTCAAACCCACCAGCCTCTCCTCAGAAGGAAGGTCGGGCAATCTACTTCTATAGTGATACCGCCACGAAAACCCAAGGAGGGGTCACTATGAGTCGAAATCGACTTGATGGCAGTGAGTTTGGAGTTTATTAGCCACATAAACAAAAGCTCTTTGGGGTTTTAAATAATTTTAGGAGTACAAAATAGTCCCAAGACCAAAAAAAAAAAAAAAAAGATTAAGAACTACTGGTTTAGATCATAGTTGAGTGAAATCAGTACTATGATCTAGCTATACACTGAAAGTACTTTACAAGGCGTTGAAATTATTTTGTGTGATATTGTAATGAGGGATACAAAATATAAGCATTTATCAAAACCACAGAACCTTAAAGCACAAAAAATAAACTTTAGTCTATGCAAATTAAATATGGACTGTGACAAGAAATGTAAATATATTACAAATGTATGAAATGGTCATATTTAAAGGCTGGGAGGAAAAGGTGCAGACCTAAATATTAACCTTGGAACCAAGTGAAATACATAAGACTACAGACAAAAGGAATTGCACATAAGCACTGTACTCCAGTTGACAAAGTTGTTTTCGAGGGGTATATATAGATCAACAACTCTGATACAACTGTATCTGTACTCTGGTACTGAACGGTTAATGGAGGTGGAAGTCAGGATTCTCACTGTTGGGAGTGGGAATTTACAGATAAGCAAGGGGAGGAAGCTAGAATGATCCATGTGATAATGGACTAGAGTTAGAAATGTCAGTATAAGTGCAAGTTTAGGTTAACATGGCCATAGATTGTTGCCTATAGAAATACATGGGTTAGTATACACACATACGTAGGTCTCCTCCATTATCCAAAAATAGAGCATGCCTATGAAACCTTTCATAAGCTGAAATGGTATAAAACAAAGAAGCAATTACCATTAATTTATATGGGAGAAATTTGAGTGTTCTCACACCCAAGCCACCTACCAAACCATACCAAATAATATATAAAACTTAAAATAACACTAACATATACTGTTCATAGACACAGTTCAAAGCTATGGTGGCTTGATGTTCACATGCTGAGTGTAGTTCCCAGGGAAGGAGTGTGGCTAACCTCCAAACCCCCTAGCTACTAATGTCTAGTTCTTATCAAAATCTATTTTTGAGCAGGAACTAAGAAAAGAAACAATAAAACAATAAGGGTAATATGACCCACATACCAATTAATGAGCTGACCTTGGGACCAGAGAGAATGATGTTTTTAACTATCAATCAAAGAAACTAAGACTCTGAAAAAAGTTACTAAAAGGCCCTGATTTATACAATTAGGGCTGTTGTTGTTTATGTGCCTTCCAGTAGGACCCAACTCATAGCGACCCCTCTTTGGGTTTCCGAGGCAGTATCACTATGGAAGTAGATTGCCCAACCTTCCTTCCGGGGAGTGGCTGGTGGGTTTGAACCACCAGCCTTCTGGTTAGTCTCTTGAATATTGAGAGCCAGCCTCTATGCTTCTATGATTTTACTTTTTAAATAAACTTTTCTTTCCTTCTCCTCTGGCCTGGTTCCTCCTGACATTGGTAACCTAAACTTACAGTATGAGCAACAAAATAAAGTAGTATTGCCACTCCTTGGAAGGAAGATGGGGCAATTTACTTCTGTAGTGATACTGCCTTGGAAACGCAAGGAGGGGTCTCTATGAGTTGGGTCCTACTTGATGACACATAACAACAACAACAACAACAACAATTGAATTATAACCCAAAGTTATAATTATCCAATAAATATCCAAGAGTCCATAATGATAGAAATAAACGGGAAAGCACAATCTCCCTTGCAGAAAATTCCAAATAATTTATTCCTTAAGTGTGTGCTGCACATAGTGATTTCCTTCCAAAGAATACAGTATGGAAAGGAAAGAAAAACAGAGTGACGTGAGAGTGGAGAAACCTGACAACACTCCATCAGCCAGGTGAACAAAGTCAATACCAACTGTACTAAACCATGTTAATAGCATGTACCCTTGATATGTGATGAAAATGGTACTTTGTTTCTGTGGTACTCCTCTCTAAAACTTGTAACTCCAGTCTAATGAGAAGAACACCAGACAAATTCCAATAAAGGGACATAGTGCAAACACTTGACCAATATTCTATAAAACTATCAAGATCATAAAAACTAAGGAAACTCTGACAAACTGACTAAGGAAACATGACAAATAAATATTATGTGGTATCCTGGGTGGGATCTTGGGACAGAGAAAGACATTAGGTAAAAAACTAAGGAAATCTGAATAAACTATGGACTTTAATTAACAATAATGTATCGATATTGGTTCATTAATTTTAACAAAATACCATACTAATGTAAGATGTTAATCACAGGGTAAACTAGGTGCAAGGTACACAGGAACTCTGTACTACCTTCTTCATTTTTCTGCAAGTCAAAAACTGATCTAAGTCTATTTTTAAAACAAGCATATTAAAGCACTGATTTAGGATTACTGATACACAATTAATTATAATACTATCATTATCCCACTGCCAGTGAGTCAATTTTGACTCAAACTGACTCTACAAAAAAGAATACAACTGCTCCAAATAGCTTCCAAGGCTGTAAATCTTTAAGGAAGCAGACTGCCTCATCTTTCTCCCACGGAGTGGATGATGAGTTCAAACCGCCCACCTTTTGGTTAGCAGGCAGATGCCTTAACTACTACTGTACCACAAGAGCTCCTCAATTAATTACAGAGACAATCAAAACCAATGGCTACATGAGACTAAACCTTTTTATCCCCTCTAATTCAGAAGAGCTCTGGTAGCATAGTGGCTAAAGCACTTGACTGCTAACCAGAAGGCTGGCGGTTCAAACCCACCAGCCACTCCTCGGAAGGAAGGTTGGGCAATCCTACTTCCGTAGTGATACTGCCTCGGAAACCCAAGGAGGGGTCGCTATGAGTCGGGGCCGACTCGACGGCACATAACAACAACAACAACAATTCAGAAGAGTCACTTTCAGTAACAACCTTGAAATTTCCCTAATTCAGCCACATTGTTTATATACGTTTAAAAAGAAGTTTAACAATGTATTCTTCAACCTACCATTTTTTTCTCCCATCTTTTAGCGTTGTTTATAAATATAAAATTCTTCAAAATTAACTTTATCAAAGGATGAATGAGATGAATCACTTTGATTGGAGAATATAACTGGAATCCAAAGGTGGTTTCTAAGATTTATAGTTCTTAGACAAAATGCATCATTTACAATTGTAAACTGAGTATTCTTTGATACTCAAATATTCAAATAGAAATTGTGGTTGAAGAAAGTTTCAGAAATGACCAGTAATCCAACACAAAGACAAGTCCAGGCATCTTCATCAAGTGAATATTTTAGTCATATCATTGACAGTATCTTTTTAAAAATAAAAAAAATTCCATCCTTTGGTCCACAAATGTGTAAAACATTCTGTAAGGAAAAAAATAAAGAATAGTGTAAAGAGAAAATTATATAAGAAAAAAAGATACTGTAATAGCAGCTCTATCTTTAAAATAGCATCAACTATTATAAAATAAATACATAATAACCAGGAAAAATTTGTACAATAACAAAATTAGGAAAATTATACAAAAGACAAGATGTACTCATAATCCTATTATATTTAATGTATTTGTTAATTAACATTGAAATTACATTATTAATACTTGAACTACTCCATTTTATAAACACCTTAAAAAACGGAAATAATAATGTTAACCACTTCACAAGACATCAAAAGACATATTGCATTGGGCAAATCTGTTGCAAAGGACCTCTTTCAAGTGCTGAAGAGCAAAGATATCTCCTTGAAGAGACTAACATGAGCCTAACCCAAGCCATGGTATTTTCAATTGTCTCATATGCATGTGAGAGCTGGCAATGAATAAAGAAGACCAAAGAAGAGTTGCTTTTGAGTTGTAGTGCTGGCAAAGAATGCTGAAAGTAGGGCTGCCAAACGAATGAACTAATCTGTCCTGGAAGAAGTGCAGCCGAAACACTCCTTCAAAGTAAGAATGGCCAAACTTTGTCTCACCTACTTTGGTCATGTTGTCAGAAGGGATCATTCTCTGGAGAAGGATGTCAAGCTTGGTAAAGTGGAGGGTCAACGAAAGATGAGAAGGCCCTCAAAAGATGGACTGACACAGTGGCTGCAGAGAAGGGCTCAGGTACAGTAGGGATCATGAGGCTGGCGTAGGACTGGACAGTGTATTGTTCTGTTGTACATAAGGTTGCTATGAGTCGGAGACAACTCCATGGCACATAACAAAAACAAACTTCATACGGCTGATATGAGGTTCCTTGTACTCAATAAACACTAGCATTTATCATTATTCTTTCAGTGTATAATTTTAAAACAAAATTTAGATTTTAATATAGACTATTTTATAACTTCTCATTGAATAACATATCATGCACTTTCCCATCATTAATATTTTATATCATTAGTGTTCTAAGTTGTTGTTATGTGCCATTGAGTCAGCCCTGACTCACAGAAACCCCTCCTTGGGATGCCGAGGCAGTATCACTACAGAAGTAGATTGCCCAACCTTCCTTCCGAGGAAGTGCTGCCTTAGGCACTATGCTACCAGAGCTCCTAGTGTTCTATATGATTTTTAAATGGTTGTATAATGTACTATGGTTAATAAGCCATATATCAGACTAAATAATTTTAATAACTAAATTTTAATAAATTATCACTAATGGAGAAAATACTCTATGTTGGAAATTTATGTTGTCCCTATTTTTTTCAGTATTGTAATCAATGCTGGGATAAACAGCTTTTTATGCATATCTCATTATTTCCTTAGAAACACAGCTAGAGGTGGAATTCTCCCACTTCCACATCAGACTCATTAAGATGTTGTAAGCTTTTTAAAAACTGAAAGTTCAAAATCATGCTAAACAAAACAGGAACTCTCTAGGGACCAAGTATGTGAGGCCTCGCTGGGGAAAGGAAACCTGGAGAACCGCAGAGGTAAACTCCCAGTGCCACCCAACATCACAGCACAGCGTAAGGATGGGAGAATCCTCTCAGAGAGGGTAACTGTGCTGATGAGTTATCAACTTCTCAGGAAGGCTACACCATCAAAGAGACTTAGCAAGTCCACCAAATCGAAGGAATTATACTCAAGAAGAGAATTAGTAGAGCATCTGGGAAATCATTTTAAATCAAGGTTTTCCCACTAAATATTGTCATAGATTGAACTGTGCCCCATCCCCACCCCCCAAAATACGTGTCAGTTTGGCTGGCCTGTGATTCTCAGTGGTTGGATAGTTATGTAATGATGTGATCAACTCCTATCATGTAATCTGATGTGATCAGCCTATCACTGTTAGGGGGTTAGGGTGGGATGCAATACCCTTACTCAGATCACAGCCCAGATATGGGGTATGGCCTGCATCACCTTTTACCTTACAAGAGATAGAGAGAGAAGTAAGCAGAGAAAGAAGGACCTGATTACCTCCAAGAAAAAGAGCCAGGAGTACAAAGTGTCCTCTGTACCTGGGGCCGGTGTTCCGAGACCCTTCTAGATGCAGTGGAATACTGATGGCAAGACACATGGAGATCTCCAAGGAATGCCAGGCCCACAGATGTTGAAAGAGACAAAGACCTTCCTTCAGATCCAACAGAGAGCAAAAGTCTTCCCCTAGACTAGAGCTGGCACCCTGAATTTGGACTTCCAGCCTCCTAAACTATAAGAGAATAAATGTGTTTGTGAAAGCCATTCACCTGTTCTGTTACAGCAGCACTGGATAACTGAGACAAATACCCTCAAAGAACTAAAGGAAACTTCATCCATATAATAACATTCATTGTTTAAAAAATGACCAACTGGATACTTTGTATGTAAAATAACTATTTGTTGAAATGAACTTAATAAATGAGGGATAAAAGAATAGACTCAACTAAAGACCCAGTCAGTAAGCTGTAAGATTGAGCCAAGCAAGTAACTCACCCAGAACGGAGAGTAAATAAGATTAAGGACAAAACAGAGAGAATGGACAAAAGACAATCATAACCAAGAATTTGCCAGAGCTGGAAAACACTTAAGCCCTCAGGCTACAAGTACTCACTGAGCACCAAGCAAGACAAAATTAATACACACTCCAAGACACATTGTTTATAACCCTCAGTATATCAAGGATAAACACCAAGTCTCAGAAGCTTCCACAGAGAAAATCTAAATTATCTACCAAGGAATGTGTTTCACACTGATAATCAGCCTTCTTATCAAAAATACTAGATGTAAAATGTTAAGGGAAAGTAAGTCTGAATCCAGAATTCCATTTCCAGCCAAGATATCTTTCAATAATAATAAAAAAAACCCACTGGCCTCAGGGCAGACCCCACTCATAGTGACCCCTCCTTGGGTTTCCAAGGAGTTATCACTAGGAAGTAGACTGCCCAACCTTCCTTCCGGAAGAGTCAAGGGCCAACCTTCTGGTTAGCAGTCAAATGCCTCAGGCACTACACCACCAGAGATCCTTATCTTTCAATAGCAATGGTGAAACAGAACAAAGAAAGTGGGGCTAATCTTATTTAAAAAAGGAAATGAAAATGTATGATCTATAAGAATTCCCAGGTGTATAGTAGCGCTGACAAGGGACAAGGTCGTAGTCACTTCTTGGCCACAGCCAGCTACCCAGAGGGACCGAGTAGTTGAACCTGTGGGCTAGGGACCATAGTCCCAGGGGACATCAAGCTCAATTAGCATAACATACTACACAAAAGATTGTTCCACCAGGGACTGGGATCTTAAAAGCTTGCAAGCAGCCATCTAGATGCAACGATGGGTCTCTCCTCATCCAGAGCAAAGAAGAATAAAGAAAACCAAAGATTCATGGAAACAATTAGTCCTAGCAACTGGTACACCATGTGATCCACAGCCTATATGATTATGAGACCAGAAGAGCTAGATGGTACCCGGCTACCACTGTCAACCACTCGGAGGGGGATTGTAGTGGTTATGTTTTTGTGTCAAATTGGCTGGGCCTGGTTCAGTGGCTGGGCAGATGGTGGTAGTTATACCCCATGAAGAGACTGGCAATCAACTCCATGGTGGGATTTACTACAATCAGCTGAGTAGCTGCTTTGGGTATGTGGTCTACTTCCCGTATATAACCAGCAGCTTTGGGAATGGTCTGTAGTCTATGGCATGCTTAGACCCTGCATGTAGCCGTGTCATTGCTCAGCAGCCTGCCATGCTCTGTCGACCTCGGGACTTACAATGGACTTAAGTTAATGGCCTGCTGTGTGGTCTGGTAACATCGGGACTGTGCCTTTTTACTTGTCAACCTTGGGGCTTCTCAGCCTCAGCAGCCAGCAGCTGTCTGAGTGAAGAAAAGTCTCTAGCTCCAGGGGCCAGGAGCAGGAGGCGGAGCTAAACCCCAAGGTTGAGGGGCTTTAAGCCAGATCCTGGAGCCTGGCACTTTGAACTTGGACGTAAAGCCTCCAAATTGTAAGAATAAACTCCTGTTTGTTAAGGCCATCCCATTTGCAGTATATTTCTGTCAGACCGGCACTAGGTAACTAGAACAGGGATCTACGTAGGAGATCCTGGATTGAGAGGGAGAACAATGTGGAACAAAACTCAAAATCATTTGGGGGAGGGGGAAGGGGGACCAGGTTTGCTGGTCCAATAGAGCCTGGTGGAACCACTGAGACTATGGCCCCTAGCTGCCCCTCAGGTCTGGAATTGAACCAGCCAACAAAAGACAGGCATATGAGTTGAAGTTACCTGAGGTAGATACACTCCTTGGAGAGAACAACCAAGGGAGAAAGAAGGGCTGTTTATGCACAGGGAGACAGCTTGGGGGGTGGGAGTACATGGAGGGATGGACACAGAGAAGAGGTAACTATTGGGAGGAAGTGGGAGGGGAGCTGTTGCCTTGTGGTAAATTGTAGTCAATGTCATGAGACAAAGTGTATGTGAACTGCTGTACGGAAAGTGAATTTGCTCTGTAAATTTTCACCCAAATCACAATTAAAAAAAGAAAAAAACAGAAATACATAACAGGGGGAGGGGAAGAAACACCTAAATTACAGAAAGGTTGAAAATGAAGGGATATGATACGACATACCAGAAAAGACAGGAGCTCTGGTAGCATAGTGCCTAAGGCACTTGACTGCTAATCAGAACTGGCGGTTCAAACCCACCAGCCACTCCTCAGAAGGGAGGCTGGGCAATCTACTTCCGTAGCTATATGGCCTTGGAAACCCAAGGAAGGGTCGTTATGAGTCGGGTCCGACTCAATGGCACATAACAACAACAACCAGAAAAGGCAAGAAGAAAGCTGATGTAGCAACACATATATCAAATAAAATAGAATTTACTATGAAAATCAGTAAAAGACAAGGAGAAATATTTCCTACAGACAGAAAAATTCACCATGAAGGTTTAATATTTATGAACTTCTACATACAAACCA